AAGTTTTCACCACTGAAAGGGATTCCGAACACTTCGGCAGACTCCGACAACACGAGAAAGAGGAACCGAACTAATAGACGACTTAGATCTTTTCGAAGTTATTTCGAAATGCTTCTGTTCAACTATTCTCTCTATTTGCTAGTTTATCAGATGTCCAAAACCAACGCCCCTCTTTCTTATCCTAAAATTTCCAACCAAAATCCTCCACTCAAAAAAAAAAAAAATCCCCCTCCATCAGTAGAAGAATAGGGTATTTATAGTGGAGAATTCGGGTTCGCATTTTGGGGGGAAAGGGATGAAAATTCGGATTCAAAGGGCCAATTTGAAATTTCAAACTCAAAAAAAAAAACTTTCACCTTTTCGATGAAACACCTTTCCCCTGAAGTTTCAACCCTTTCCGGAAGAGGAAAGGGAAGAAAACGCGTGCTGGCAGGTGCTGTACGACCTACTGGCGGCAAAAGAGAAACGACGAAATTGGATGCCGTGTAGCTTCCGTGAATCGCCGTGTATTCTTTGCCATTGTCGTGTTTGGACTGTTGTTGCTGCTGATGTTTTTAGGAGTTGATGTTAACATTGAGCATATGGGTCTCTTTACTGATGGGAGGAATTGGGCCGGGTCGCTGTGCTGGGAATAATTGGTTTGGGCTGTTAATTAAGGGAGATGGGGCTGGGAATTGGGCTGTTGGAAAATAAATGGGAGTTGGGTCAAAGGAGTTGAAAGGATGGGCTGCTGGAAAGGCCCAAATTTGGTCCCTTAAGATGGGTCTTGGTGAAAACAAATTAATTTGGTGAGAATTAAATTAAGCTTTGGTCATATGATTTAAATTATAGCCAATCGAAAATTAAAGATGTAGCCATATTGGATTAGTTTGAATAAATTCGGCTAGCAATTTAAATAAGACAAATTAACATAATTAATTTATGAGCTCTTTGATCTTAACGGAATAAAATAATTAACTTAACCATAAACTAATCGATTTGCCTATAAACTCATTAATTCAAAATTGAAACCATAATTCAAACTAGAATTAAATAACTAAAATATTTATTTAAACCGAGTAAAAAAAAATCTTTTGATATGATTTTCCAACACTTATAAAATATACTACTTACGTATATAATTATATGAAATATATTTATTATTCGAAACACTATTAAAACTGATTGAAAATACTTAAAATAACCTTGAAACTATTCGAATTTTTTTTAAAAGCTAATTATTCTAAATCGTTTGGAAATTAAGAGACTCAGAAACTAATTATTATCGGGGAGGGTCAAAATTGGGTGTCAACAATTCTTATACCTAACAAGAGATGAATTAAGTTGGTAGCTGTAAAGTGACTCAATAATACACCTATATTATTTGTCTTTTTCTTTAGGGGTTGTTTGGTTGGAGCAAGTTATTTCGGGATTAATTATCGCGAAATAAGTTACTTCATCATGTATATGTGATCATAATTTATATATTCCATCACTATGGTATGGGATACATAATCGGAGGACTACCTAATATGGCTCCAACCAAACACAAGATAAAATAATTCCGCATTTTATCCCAAAATTATTATACCTCATACTTCACACCAAATGACTCTTTAGGAAAATCCCCCAAAATTTTATTTGGTTTGGCAGTTTCATAGTTAAATTATGCACTTATATGATATTTGCTTAGCATATAATTAAGGAATTTTATGGTTGGGTATTGGGTCGGACATGAAGTTATATTTTTTCTCATAAATATGAAAATTCACAAGTTGTGAAAACTTTGAAATTCAATTCTTATGCAATCTTACCGAATGAGTAAATCATTTCGTTAACAAGATATCATAATATCTAAAGCATCGCATCGATGAATTACATATCTTTATGTTTCTTTTAACTTTCAAATGTACATAAACTTATAAAGATCCACTAGTCAACAATAGTAGTAATTAGTAATTCTTTCACATGATACGGCGAACAATTTATTCACGTCGAACATGAGTTTATTTTTGTAAAACTGAAAATAATGATTTGTTTTTTTTTACAAAATATAAACTTATGAATAAGTTTTTATATTTTTTAAAAAAACATAATTCAAAAAAGGATAAATCATATGTTATAAATCAAACAAGGATAAAAAAGGAGTGGTGATAATTCTTCCATATATCTTGTGAATGGAGTCTGTTCTCAGAACAAGCCCAATCATAATACAAAAGATTGATTTTTTTGGTTCGCAAGGGTCAAATGCCCTTATTTATTCATTTCATGTCGTACTATATACATTTTTTTGTTTCCACCCAATGTCCGGTACCCACATTGGAGCCCGATACAATGGATTCACGACGTAATAAAGTCCCACATTGGGGTGAGCTCCCTAACATAGACGACTCTGTATTCGGAGGGGACTCGAATGTCATACTATATTTTTACTATATCTTAAGTTCATATGTTGCAAAGTCCAAATGATCGATAAATGACAAGAACAAATTTATTAGCTTCATTCTGTATGAATTTCAACTTCTAAAAGAGGCACCTGAACACATAATAAAGAGATCCTTCAATATTGCACCTACAGCAACAAGAAGCAGTTTAACCTTAAAAATTTTCGGATGTTCATCGAATTAGAAAATCAAGAAGTACTCAACAACAACAACAGCAACATGGTTGATGTGTATTGAGCTATGAAGATGTAAGTGGAGAGAAATTGATCAAAATTATAAAGCTGCATAAAAACACGAAATTAGTGAAAGACGATCTGATGTATATTTGTCTCCAATCATATCATACATAAAAAAGAGTTGATCAATCAAAACAAACATAGCAAACACTACTAGTGTTACAATATAACAAAATGAGCTAGCAACAAAATAGACTTCAGTATTCTTTGAGGAGGTCTATACGGTCACATCCTTCAATCAGTTCTTTGACGAGGTGTATACGATCACATCCTTCAATCTCTTCGACTTCTTCCTTAATTCTCACAGCTGAAGCCTCCATAGATACTTTCCAAGACCCAATCAACTTAATCTGTTTCAATGATGGAATATCAGCAAAGCTAAGTGGGATCTCCTCAAGGTCATCACACTTTTTTATAACAAGTGTTTCAAGCAAGGGAAATGATTC